TCTAGCTTTAGCATAATAAAGAAGCTAGTATAAAATCTAGCTTTAGCATAATAAAGAAGCTAGTATAAAATCTAGCTTTAGCATAATAAAGAAGCTAGTATAAAATCTAGCTTTAGCATAATAAAGAAGCTAGTATAAACTCTAGCTTTAGCATAATAAAGAAGCTAGTATAAAATCTAGCTTTAGCATAATAAAGAAGCTAGTATAAAATCTAGCTTTAGCATAATAAAGAAGCTAGTATAAAATCACTAGCTTTAGCATAATAAAGAAGCTAGTATAAAATCTAGCTTTAGCATAATAAAGAAGCTAGTATAAAATCTAGCTTTAGCATAATAAAGAAGCTAGTATAAAATCTAGCTTTAGCATAATAAAGAAGCTAGTATAAAATCACTAGCTTTAGCATAATAAAGAACTATCCTCCTGCAGGTGCTGAGTCCACAGGTGCTGAGTCCACAGGTGCTGAGTCCACAGGTGCTGAGTCCACAGGTGCTGAGTCCACAGGTGCTGAGTCCACAGGAGCTGAGTCCACAGGAGCTGAGTCCACAGGTGCTGAGTCCACAGGTGCTGAGTCCACAGGTGCTGAGTCCACAGGAGCTGAGTCCACAGGAGCTGAGTCCACAGGTGCTGAGTCCACAGGAGCTGAGTCCACAGGTGCTGAGTCCACAGGTGCTGAGTCCACAGGTGCTGAGTCCACAGGAGCTGAGTCCACAGGAGCTGAGTCCACAGGTGCTGAGTCCACAGGTGCTGAGTCCCACAGGTGCTGAGTCCACAGGAGCTGAGTCCACAGGTGCTGAGTCCACAGGTGCTGAGTCCACAGGTGCTGAGTCCACAGGAGCTGAGTCCACAGGTGCTGAGTCCACAGGTGCTGAGTCCACAGGAGCTGAGTCCACAGGTGCTGAGTCCACAGGTGCTGAGTCCACAGGAGCTGAGTCCACAGGTGCTGAGTCCACAGGTGCTGAGTCCACAGGAGCTGAGTCCACAGGTGCTGAGTCCACAGGTGCTGAGTCCACAGGTGCTGAGTCCACAGGTGCTGAGTCCACAGGTGCTGAGTCCACAGGTGCTGAGTCCACAGGTGCTGAGTCCACAGGAGCTGAGTCCACAGGAGCTGAGTCCACAGGTGCTGAGTCCACAGGTGCTGAGTCCACAGGTGCTGAGTCCACAGGAGCTGAGTCCACAGGTGCTGAGTCCACAGGAGCTGAGTCCACAGGTGCTGAGTCCACAGGAGCTGAGTCCACAGGTGCTGAGTCCACAGGTGCTGAGTCCACAGGAGCTGAGTCCACAGGTGCTGAGTCCACAGGTGCTGAGTCCACAGGAGCTGAGTCCACAGGTGCTGAGTCCACAGGAGCTGAGTCCACAGGTGCTGAGTCCACAGGTGCTGAGTCCACAGGTGCTGAGTCCACAGGAGCTGAGTCCACAGGAGCTGAGTCCACAGGTGCTGAGTCCACAGGTGCTGAGTCCACAGGTGCTGAGTCCACAGGAGCTGAGTCCACAGGAGCTGAGTCCACAGGTGCTGAGTCCACAGGTGCTGAGTCCACAGGAGCTGAGTCCACAGGTGCTGAGTCCACAGGTGCTGAGTCCACAGGTGCTGAGTCCACAGGAGCTGAGTCCACAGGAGCTGAGTCCACAGGTGCTGAGTCCACAGGTGCTGAGTCCACAGGTGCTGAGTCCACAGGAGCTGAGTCCACAGGAGCTGAGTCCACAGGTGCTGAGTCCACAGGTGCTGAGTCCACAGGTGCTGAGTCCACAGGTGCTGAGTCCACAGGTGCTGAGTCCACAGGAGCTGAGTCCACAGGAGCTGAGTCCACAGGTGCTGAGTCCACAGGTGCTGAGTCCACAGGTGCTGAGTCCACAGGTGCTGAGTCCACAGGAGCTGAGTCCACAGGTGCTGAGTCCACAGGTGCTGAGTCCACAGGTGCTGAGTCCACAGGAGCTGAGTCCACAGGTGCTGAGTCCACAGGTGCTGAGTCCACAGGTGCTGAGTCCACAGGTGCTGAGTCCACAGGTGCTGAGTCCACAGGAGCTGAGTCCACAGGAGCTGAGTCCACAGGTGCTGAGTCCACAGGTGCTGAGTCCACAGGTGCTGAGTCCACAGGTGCTGAGTCCACAGGAGCTGAGTCCACAGGTGCTGAGTCCACAGGAGCTGAGTCCACAGGTGCTGAGTCCACAGGTGCTGAGTCCACAGGTGCTGAGTCCACAGGTGCTGAGTCCACAGGTGCTGAGTCCACAGGTGCTGAGTCCACAGGTGCTGAGTCCACAGGTGCTGAGTCCACAGGAGCTGAGTCCACAGGTGCTGAGTCCACAGGAGCTGAGTCCACAGGTGCTGAGTCCACAGGTGCTGAGTCCACAGGTGCTGAGTCCACAGGAGCTGAGTCCACAGGTGCTGAGTCCACAGGTGCTGAGTCCACAGGTGCTGAGTCCACAGGAGCTGAGTCCACAGGTGCTGAGTCCACAGGTGCTGAGTCCACAGGAGCTGAGTCCACAGGTGCTGAGTCCACAGGTG